AGCCGATAAGTAATTCCCCAAAGAAGAAAAAAGCAAGAAGAGTCCTCAAGAACACCATAACAAAATCGCTCCCTGACAGTCACACCGCCCTGCGGTCTCTGTGCAACCCCTGGCTCACAAATCTCTTTATCACTCTCCAAGTAGTGGAATGCGAAAAACAACAAAAACACGGAAGAAGAACTCTTGAAAAGGAAAAGAAACTTCAAAAACTCGGCGTCCGAATTTAGGGTTACGGTAGCGTGCATCTTTTAGTGTAGAGTAGTGCGTCGAGCTTTTGCACCACGAAAATGGGTCGCTCGTGATTTTTACGCGTTTTACCTTGCGAGATGGGTTGAGTTGACTGTATGTGCTCCCAATGAATAAAATGTAATAAAGGAGAGCAGAATTATTCATGGGCACGAGCGCGGTCAGCAAAAAGGACATGCAATTCCGATTAATGCCCGCCGCCCCAACAAAGAACAACTGAGCGGCCCTCCGTCAGAGGGCATCTAGCAAGTGGGCGGTCCAACGGCGTTAGAACTAGAACTTTCAGCGGCTGTAGCTCGCTCCTCGCTCGCTGTGGAGTCGAATAGAGTGGGACAGTCTCTAGCTTGGGGGCTGTACTACTTGCACAAGGAAGGACGACCATGTACTTGAGCGCGGGGGCTGTCTTTAAGCTACATTTATTACTTCACTCAAACTCACTGCATTTAAGGAGATCATTGATTACTTGGTTGGTTGGGACCTGGAATCTTCAATGCCGTTGTCCGTGCCAAAGAAATGTCATGAAGTCATCAAATTGCTTCTCCCATATTGGCACAAAGTGCCTGATTTTGGTCATCAAATGATGTCTCAATTTCTGGATGATATCGGAGGATACGTGGAGGTGGGTTATCGGTTTTGCTTTTTGTTTGTCGAAATGTATTATGAGAATCCTTGCAGGAATACGAAAAGCACGGCAGTCTTCGCAATTGCCTAAGTAAGGCGTGTTCAGTCCTGGAACTTCTTGTAGTCCTGATCGAGATATATGTTCAAGATAGGAATAGTGTTCAACAGTTCTACTGGGATGTGCTACAGCAGGTTACACAGATACATCATTGTTTTATCTTTAATTGGTAAACAGTTGAGTTTTAGTCACTGAACTCATGTACTTCGAGCATGACCCAGCTCGGATCTGAACCTTCTTTCCGTGTGGGAGTTTTCTTATCGGAATACTGCGGTATTTTCTCCACAGCCGTGCCGCTTGTCGATTCACAGGTCAGGTGATGAAGATTTCAGATGCGCTTTTTCGGTGCTGTTGGGCTTGGAGGGGGCTTTTCGCACTTAAGCTAGATCCTTCTGCTTGTAAAGTAACAGGTTTTGATTTGCTGAGACCTTTGAAACCAAGTGAAGCTGCGAATAACTGCAGCTTCACTTGGTTTCAAAGGTCTCAGCAAATCAAAACCTTATCCACTTCGGTCACAGGAGTTCACTGGTCTTCACAAGGTGGCCTGTAGAAGCCTAGCTGGGACTCATTTGGCACCCCCACAAAACTGAACTGCGCCGACTTTTCTGACATCCTGCTTATCAAATCATTTCAGAACATCCACATAGTGTCGAAATGTACCACAACCGCAGTCGAGATAATGCACAAGTTTTGCGCTAATGAGACTGCTGTCGTCAATTGTATCAAGTATTTCACAACGGTATCCTTGTGCTTATATACCTTTCCAGCAATCAGAACTCCTCTAATGAACTCGTATGTTTAGATTTTTACGGTAGCATCGTTACCTGCTGAGTTCACAGTACCTCTTACCGAAAAACTTGGAATCCTGGGAGAGCCATCAGTTTTTCAACTCTCAGTTTTTGGAAGGTTTGTTCTATTCCGTTTGACCGCGTGACCCCTCCGGCTTTTTTTCATGGTCCTTTAGCGCAAACAGATTGAGGACAGCGGCTACCATAGCATCATAGTGTGCTACAGTACGCATGCCAAGCCCGGCGATGGGTTTTCAAGAGAATAGAACCTGCTGTACGTAAACCAATTACCATATTTGACAGGAAAGTCATGTCATATTCTTTTCCCAAACGAAAGAAAACCTTGCTCTTAAAGGCAGTTAGAACGGTAATCTAGTTTTCGGCCTAAAATGCTAGCAGGGCGCTATATAGTGGGAAATTGGCGAAAAACGAAGTGAAACGGTCCGAAACCTGCGAAGAAAAGCCTTCATACATGGCTCGAAAAATCAATTTCGGACGAGTTCTCCCTAGGCACCGCTACGTAGGTACGGCGGCACGTATGTACTCTATCCATGCAGCGCCACGCCTACTTCATATCAATCCCTTCGCTTCATATTTTACTTCGCAAATGAAGCAATACGAGCACCAGGTAAGGTCGTCCATTTGTGGGCGGGCGGGCATGGTGGGCGTTCGGGTATATTATAGCTTGATAGGGCCCTTATAATGAGTCCCTTCTTGGAAAAGGCGCTACGCAGCGCCTGCTCAGGGTCGCGGAATTCCGTCCTGCCAGGCGTATTAATCCTACTCGTCTTAGGGATTTATCGTGCCAACTGCCTTTAAAGACAATTCCCGCGATCAAGTGTTCGGGTAATTGGTGCTCAGTCACGAAGCAGTGGCCCATTTGTAACCCCCCCCCATGGAAAAAAGAAAATCAATAAAAAACTCGCGAAACCCGTGAACACAGAACTCCCTTAGCAGCGGGGGGGGGCGGACGAGTGTCGGCGGTCCGGGATGCATGGCTGCAGAAAACGCATGCGGCACCGCAAACTGCATCCCTGACTTCGAAATAGCGATACTTTAAAGGGACGGAGCAGCTCGAGACACGGAGCTCGTCCAGCTACGTGTCAGCTTTGTGGAAATCGCTATAACTTCCTTATCGCGCCATATTGAGGGATGAAAGTGGTATCATCTTCGTCAAGGCGTAGAGGGTTCCAAAAAGCACGAAGTCATTTTGAGGACCACTTGATCGCGGGGAGTGTCTTTAAAGGCAAACACTGCAATTGCGTATTTTGGTTAGTTGCGTCCAATAACGAACCTATAGTTGAAGTTCATGAACGGCACCGTAAGGGCCCCCTGCTTGCTCACTGTACGAGTTGTCCGGAGGTGCTCGTTATGCCAGTAAAGCGACATCCTGCCGCTCTAGCTCACTTTCTTGGCGTCACCCACTAACACCATCTAACTGTAGAAAAATGAAAAATACACCGTAAAAACTGAACTCGTAGCAGAAAATAGCTTTTGAGTTTTGGTTGGCGGAGCAACTAGGAAGGCGTCATAAGTGCGTGAGGGCCGTAGCGCATGTGTTACTTACTGTAAAGCCGCGAAAGTGGCGACAGTCCTATTGAGAATGAGGGCCATACTTGCTCAACAAGAAGGACGGCTATGAACTGTCTGCGCGATAGACTGTCTTATCTAAAAGTTGTAAAATTTAATCTTAAAGTCTAGAAAATCTAAAATAGATGAGCGGCTGTTCCGGAATACCGGTATAGCCCACACATTGGTTCTTCCACTGAGGGCGAAAATTTGTTCGCATTTCACAGCACGCCATATCTTTCCATGTGGTAACATCACGTACCCTCCTGTGTCTGAGATTGAATTTTTAAGACCAAAACTTGCGTCAGCGCTGCTATCGCTTCTCACTTCAATGATGTGTCCTTCTGTATTACCACTTCTTCTGGCATCATATACTACTGTGAGAGAAAAGCTATTGGGTAAGGCACTTTTTCCTCAGCATTAAACTCAAGCATGTAATTAACTTGAAAACCATATCTATTCTTTTCTCATTCAAGCTGAAGTCGCTTCTCTGCGTGACGAAAATGCAGATGCGCTCACGGACATGCGAGAAACGGAGGCACGACTTCTGATCCTAATAGGAGCTTTCGCGGCGCTTGCCTCACTCAAGAGCAGTCTTATCGTGGTAAGTGAAGTTTTTAGTGGACTGGAGGCAGTCGGCTAAGAGGCATTGCGACAGTTTCATTGTTGTTTGTGGTGGAAGGGGGGAGGGGAGGGGGCGAGGTTGGGCCGTAACCGCAGCGTGCTGGGTGGTGTGGCTCAACGTGCAGCACTAGTGTGGAAGTTGCCGCCTCGCCTCCCAGCAAACACCCCCACTTTTATGGTATTTTTGTCATTTCTGCCATCATCTATGTTACACAGATGATGGGATTGCGTCCGTCATTGTTCCATCTTTTGCTCAATGAGATGCCACTGACTGAACAATGGTTCATTACGAAATATCCGGCTGTTCATTACTGTCTGCTGAATGTGATGCACACGCATGTGGCCTCGTAAGTTTTTTCCCCATAAATTTTGTTCGGCGTTGGAAGGGGCATTTTGCACTTCAGCTGTTTCCCCTTCTTAGTTCTTGTTAGCTTGTGGTGAGACCTGTAAAGTCTTGTGAAGCTGCGAATTGGCACATGCGAGACGTTTTGCTTACAAGGATTTGCAGGACTTTACAAGGTGGCTTGTGCAGGTTTCGCTGAAACCGCTTGGTGCCCCCCACTAAACCCCATTGCGTTCTTTATTCTCATGATTGATTGAAAAATATTACAGTCACGATTACTTTTTGTCAAACTCTGAATGGCTGGTGCAAAGCAACTCACCCAGCTGCATGTATGCAAAAGAACAACTGTTGGCTATTGACCGCCTTTTAAGTTCTCATATACAGTGGGAGCACACGAAGTGAGTTTTTCCAGGGGAAATATTGATTCAGCATAATTTTTGTAAAATCCAGAGCGTTATGCGTGAAATGGTTGCATGGTCTATTGTCCGGTATCGACGATTCTGCGATGACGACATTGGCCTATCGTCCAGAATTTGTTCGAATCCGCGGGGCTGTTCTGAATGCACTCATCAGCGAGAAACCGAGCGAAAAGTGATCCTTTTAAAAAATTGTCTTCGAATAACGTGGCCTACATAAAGTCTAGTTTTCAGGCTTACGGCTGTTGCACTGCGTTTGAATGCACATTGTGCCACTGACAATCAAAATGCTGTGGCCATAACGAAATCAGTCATATCAAAGGTGGGTTTTCGGAAGACAGATTTCGTGGAAATGATCGTGTGTAACAGGGTTGAAAAGCGAAAGTTCATATAGCGGTTGACTTGTCTGTGAAGAAAAACAGGCGGAACCGTAGAAAACACTCCAAATGAGACCTTAGTGAGGGGTGACAATCACTTAGAGATTTTGGGCGAGAGGCTAGGCAAGAGCAGCGAGTGAGCGTGCAAGCGAGCAAGACGACAGACAAGACAGCGAGCAACGCGAATGGCGTCATGCGAACCTTATAATATTTAGAGCTCTGCCTCACAATTTCTGACGCGAAATTTGTACAAGGTTGGCCATTGTGGTCAATCATTCATTTTCCCAAAAAGAGCTTCAGTTCTCAAGAGCAACATTATGGAATGTGATCTTGAAGGCAGTGGGCGCGATAGCCCGGGCGAGCAGTTGTTTCCAGCGTCATTGGTAAAGGGACTGCGAGAGGGCGTTTGGCCACGCCCCACTCATCCCCTCCACCAATGACGTTGGCAACAACTGCCCGCCCACAGCGATCCTGCCCACTGCCTTCAAGGAAAGAACATGTGGTGGTGTGCCGTTGGCATAGCTGGGGAGTGCTGACTTGCGCTGTCCTAAGTGGACTTTTCCTGTCCAAAGTTGCCCTAGAAACGTACGATTAGCTGGGGGGTAGGATCCTTTATTTACATAGGAGTGCAGGTCCCAACGTGGCACTTTTGCCGCTCGAAGATATGTGCCTAGCGCGCTAGAGACTTGCGTTATTTAGCAATCTCCTTCATATCAGGCATGTAGAGGAGGGTGGATTGTTCTGTAGAGTAGCGGTCATGCCTTGTGTATCTGAACTATTAAACTTTTGATTTCTAAAATTGCGATACTACCCAGTTTTGGAAGACTGCAGTGACTAATGCGGTGCGAACTGGAACTTATTAGTGAGGGGACATCCAGTTTCCCGCTGCTCGCTCTAAGACTTGCGTGTCTTGAGAGATTTCGGAATTATTGGCTTTAGCAGTGCTTACTTGGGTTTGTACAGGATTTATCAGTACGCGAAGCTTATGCAGATAGTTTCGTAGGATCATTCACCAAGACCTCTCATCTGGAATCTTTGGCATTGTTAGATATTGTCCTTGGGCAATATTCAATCTTTCCCGCCTTTCCTTTCAAAATTCAGTCCAGTATTGATCGAAATTTTTCACTATGGGTAAAGATGGCTGGAGTCTCGGATCCTAGTTGATCCGCTAAACATCACATCTGTTTAATTAGAACCCTTCGGGACGTGCGCTCCTGGCACCTGCGCGAAAGCGCCCCGGAACACCAATGCTGGAATTGTCTCAAGAGGTAATTTTACCCCTGAACGCGCACCTAACATTTGCTTAGCACAGAAAAGCCTGGTCTTGCGCCACTGGTGCCGGCGCTATAACTAGCCAGTGACTGCGGCATCTGTTGCTTGGCGCCAGCCGTTTTCATGCTCACACAGTATTCACTTTCAAAGGTCGCAATACCCATTTCGCCAAATCTAGTGTTAGGGAAAAAATTTCGATCATAATTAGGCATGAATTCTGAGGAGTGGGGCAGTATATGGTAAACAGTGCCTATCGTCTTGTTCCATTTGTGCCCAAAGCTGTTAGTAACATTAAGAACGTGGTTGCCAAGTGATGCAACCACTTAACACCTCGTGGGAGGAGTATAAAATGTCCTCGATAGAATTGTCCTCTATCGGTACACCTCCCTAGATAGTCGATCGAAACCGGATAGTTTCCGCTTGGCTAGTATGCAATTTTATGATTATGATGTCGTCGATGAAGCATGAAAGGACTAGTTGCCAGCCGTCATCCTTCACTTTCGTGTCTTTCGAACACCGCTGTTCCTAATATTCGAGACGTTCTCTTTGTATGCAAGAATCTAGTCCTAGAAGTCGGCAAGAAGCCAAAATCCGTAAACTGTCGTGGGTAATCGGGTCGTCCTCACTCCCGTTCGGTCGGACTCCCTCTTGTAGCCTAATTACTATTTTAACCACTTTTTCTCAAAAGTTTTGCAGGCAAATGGCATGGGGCGGGGAAGGGGATAACATTCGGCAAAACTTTCTGTTGAGGCCAGTGCGGCACAGTACGGTTTGTCGGGGTCAGCAAATGGTTCTGAGTGGAGCTTGTGCAGGTCGCATTGTGAAAAACTGTGAATTCCAGGTCATTGATCTGACTAACGTGAGATCTGCTGGTTAAGGAGCTATCGATAGAAACTTTTAAGTACCCCTTCTAAGTCGTTTCGCCATCAGAGCCACCAACCTTAGAAGTTCCCCATTCCTGGTAGGTTTCCCACAGCGATATGTACGCTATGTTATGGAATGTCCGTCCTGCTTCGGGTAAGGGTTCAGGGAATAAGAGAATAGTGAGTCCAGTTCTCGGGCTATAGTAGAAGTTTATTGTATCTTCCAGCAATTGGAGGCAGGTGTTTTCGCTTGGAGGGATGTCCCTAACAAGGCAGCTAAGCGCATGGGGAATCTCCAGCGCACTTCAACCCCCCGCCCCCCTCCGGTTCGAACGGCAGATTTTTCAGCAGATTTTTGCCAAAAAACTAGGAAAAATTGGCATTGCACCAGCTCCAAAATTGGCAACGAAGTAGAGAATTGCGAGAACTTGCTAAGACGTGGGAGGAAGGAGGAGGCGTAGCTCGAGAGAAAACTCGTAGGTTCCTATTTTGCAAAGATTTTCCTCAGCAAAACGTGCCGTGTGCAATTTTCACAGTTTCCTTCACCGTTCCTCTCAGAGCTCCCTGCCGTGCACACTGACGTCTTTTTTTTATCATAGCCCTGTCAATTTTTTAGCGAAATAATTCCTCAATGGATGAATGCTTGTCCCTTATGTTAACCGAGGTCGAAAAAAATTTTTGGGCCAAGGTCTCGTCAATTTCAGGTAAAAACCGTGGGGAGCAGCAGAGGAGCTGCCGCCTGGTCCAGCATCGATATGCGCACTTTTCTCAGGTGTGTTTTTTAACAGCAAACTATTTTTCCAAAAAATTTGCCTCTGTCAGTGGATTTAGCCTCCAGTAAGGTTTGTCGTAGCAGTTGGCAACTTTTCAAAATTTAAGCGAGGCTTATGAATTGAATAGTGAGCTTGAAATGTCATTCACGTCACAGCATCGTCAGAGTGCAAACCGTCGACCGTCAGGTTTTGTTCCATAGCCAGACGTAATTGCGCCTACTATGCCATTCACATGTCACAATCGCTGTGAACGGCGTTTTATGAAAAAAAAAATCCCTCGCAGCTTGAACGTTACAGCCGCTCATGCTTTTTGTGATGCTTCATGATATGTTGCCATGAACCAGATTTTTTTTTTCAGAGATTTTCTATTTTCTCTCACCCAGGATTAATCTATCATTGTCTCTCGCTTTTCATTTTTTCATGCTCATCCCTCTGTCTTGCTTGGCGCTCGCTCTCACTGTGCACACCAAAGGCCAGGAAAACGTTTATCTATTAGTACCATTCCAAAAGAAAAGCGAGCTCGTCTCGAAAGAGGTTGGTCAGTACCGAAGCGGAGTCGTGCAGGTCCTCCGAGAGGCCAGGTCGTCGTCACCCCGTGATCGCTATATCTAGTCGTGAGGGACTGTAAATATATGTAGTAAACTTGTTCTCTTCTTTACAATCGCTATGTTGTGGTTTGGTCCATGTTCGCTCCCTTTCTGTTGAGTGCTGGTAGCGCGAGAGAAGTTACGACGTCATTACTACAGTAATTCAGCTGGTGTTTTGCAGTCTATTCCATGGTTCGAAATAGTTAAATTGGTTCCGAATTGCCTCCTCTGGCACTGTTCGGTTGAGGGGGGAGGGCATTTTTGCACCTCGCTAGTTTTTTTTTACAAAGTCCTTAATTTGCACGTCTCGCCTTGGTAAGACTTGTAGACTCTTGTCAAGTGTAGTGGAGCTTGTGTGACTTTATGAGGATTTACAGGTCTCCATAGGAGCTACCGGCAGTGATCAGTGAGAATCAACAAAATGTCCCCACCAAGGCAAACTGCGCCTACTTTTTTTCTTTGATCATTGCCTGGGAGGGCCTAGTGGGTTGAAACGTATTTGTGAAAAAGCGGAAGAAGTGAGGAGCTCGCGCTTAATTTTTATTGGAAGGAAATTATGAGGGGCAAGAAGACATTCATGACCCGATTTCTGGTCAAAAAATCAATGCATATCCCTTCCGACGATTCTGCTTGTCTTCCGCTCTCTCCACCTCTTAGCAGGATAATTAGCCGAATTAGACATCTGCCCATCGCAGTGCCTACATTACATCTATCGAGGTATTTTCTCCCTACGAATTTCATAATTCGTCAGTGCTGTGTTTGCCCTGAAAGGAGCTCAACAGGTTCAGGCTTTGTTTGTGGGTTCTGTAGTGTTGGGCTGCGGCTTAGGAGAAAGACGTTGTTTACAGGACGTATTTATTTGCTCGGCATTGACAGAGCGATGAGCGAGCGCGCATTCAATCGACTTGTACTTCAAGGTCGTGTTCTTCATAGGTTCAATGTCCTGATCCCATTAGCGTTACGGTAGAAATAAACGTGCGCGGCGTCCTCAGTGTTCATTTGGTTAAATTTTAAGCAAGTTCGGCAAGAGGGGGACATTTTGCTTTCTCGCTGCTTCCCACTGTCCTGTCCATTGTTTTACGAGAGTTGACAAGTATTTTCTAGAAACTGGTATCACTTCCATAGCTTCACAAGATTTCACAAATCTCTTCTCGATGGGTCGACTCAATAATGGGAAGCAGCGAAAGTGCAAAATGCTTCCCCCGACACCGAACAGCGCCCAGTTTCAGCCTAGTTCCGTTAATACATCTGCCACTTTCCTTTACAACCGTCTAACCAGAGTTTTCTGATTCCATTTGGTCGATGGTAGCTGGTTTTGGCTGATGGCGGTTTCCCCTTCGTGAAGAACTTGCTCTCGAAGTTTTTTGAGTTCTTTGCTGTCAAATGTCGGCGCCTCGACGATTCCACGATTGTGTTCGCATCGGAAGTCAACGACTTTCATGACGTTTATGAC